AAGCATGGGCATGTGTGGCCTGCTTCTAACCGACAGATTACAGCAGAGGTGATGGTGTTGTATGTGATCACGTGTACACCATTGTATTCCATAAGATGGCAATGCCTGTCTTGCTAAGGAACTCTCCTGCTTGCTGTCGTGGAGAAACGAGCTGCCATGTTGTGTGCTGCTACATGGGGAAAGCCACATGGCACAGGGCTGAGGGTGGCCTCTAACTCATGGCCAGCCAGAAACAGAGGCCCTCAGTTGGCAGCTTGCCAGGAACTGGATGTTGCTAACAATCATGTGAACACGGAGGCAGATTTTCCCTTTCCATGTGGAAAAAAGCAGTCTAACTTTGATTACAGTCTTACAGAGGACCAGCAAAGCTATATCCAGCATCCTGACCCTACATAAACTGTGAGACAATAAATGTGTGTTGTTCTAAGCCATGAAATTTGTAATAATACTGCTACAGAGGAATAAATAACGAACACAGCTACCAACTCTAAAAACTGATTAAAATAATTGAAGACATTAAAAAAAATATGAGAAAAAATACAAAAGAAAAAAACACCAGAAAGATTTGTAAAACATGAATATAATATTTATTAATTAAAAAAAAACATAATTCCTAAAATGATTTAACTCAATAGGTAGGTTGAATAGTCAAATGAAATTTGCTGAAGAAATAATAAAAGACTGGAAAACAGATCAAAGGAAATTAATCTATTTCAATTTAAAATATAAAACACATATTAAAATATGGGAAAACTTGAAAGGGAAGTTAAGAAAGATAAGATATATTCTAATCACCAACACCTGATCAGACTGGGAATACTAAAACACAGAAAATAGAGAAGTAGAAAGACAGAAATAAATAATAGCTGAGGATTTTCCACAACTGCTGGAAAGTTGACTGATTCTTCAGATTCTAGAAGCAAATAAAACCCAAGAAAGATAGCTGTAGTATACACATGGAAGTAGAATACAGAACACCAAATTCAACATGTAAAAGCAGAGCCAGGTGCAGTGGCCCAGGCCTGCAGTTCTGGCTACTCCAGAGGCTCAGGGGAAATTTTCAAATTTAAAATTATTTGAGCCCATGACTTTGAGGCCAGTCTGGCAGCCTGGACAGCAGAGCAAGAACCTGTCTAAAACGAAGCAGAAAAGACAAAAGAAGCCAAGCACAGTGGCGCACACACATCTGTAATCCGAGAGGCTAAGGAGGCCGAGGCAGGAGGATCTTGAGTTCAAAGCCAGCCTCAGCATAAGCAAGGAGCTAAGCAACTCAGTGAGACCCTGTCTTTAAATAAAATACAAAATAGGGGTGGAGATGTGGCTCAGTGGTTGAGTGCCCCTGAGCTCAATTCCCAGTACTCCCACCCCCAGAAAAAGAAAAGGTTATGAAAGCAAACAGTGAGGAAAAGCATCTTAAAAGAAGCAACAGTAAACTCTTCAATAATGGCAAATGAAGCAGAAGACAGAAGAAAAACATCTTCCAGGTGCTTAGATGGCATAAAACAAAATTAATAGAAAACATGTACATGGGCCTGGGATGTAGGTCAGGGTCAGAGCACTTGCCTAGCACAGATAAGAACCTGTGTCTAAACCCCAGCAATGCAAAAAAAAAAAAAAAAAAGAATATAGGCTGTGGTCGTGGCTCAGTAGTAGAGTGCTTGCCTAGCATGTGTGAGACACTGGGTTCAATTCTCAGCACTGCATTTAAATAAAAAAAATATAACATAATATATATATATTACAAAAATTATATTTAAAATGAGCAATGAGCAAGGTATGGTAGAATAAAAGTTCTAAGATCCTAAATCATTTGAAATGACAATTAAGATATTTTTATAAGTTTAACAATTAGACAAATTGTAATTTCAGTATCTGTGTTAAAATTGGAAGGGTAAAAGCAGAAATGGAACATGCAATTTCAAAATCAATAAAGGAAAATAGAATGTAAAATATTATTAATGCCCACATTTTGCAAAACACAAAGCCAAGGCTTATTAAAATTAACTTGACAAAATTTACCCAGCCAGCAACTAGCAGAATGTGACTTAAATTCATGTCTTTAAACTCCAAGTTCTGTGATTTTTTTTTCCTTCTATGTCATATAACTCTGACCTAGGTGATTCTTTAAAATAACACTAGATAACCCTGATATCTAATCTAATAAGGCAAAAATTCCATACTATTATAGAATATCTTTATTTAAATAGCTTGTGGAAAAGTGTAATTTATTTATCTAGCAGTCCTCTTATACACTCTTACCTGCCTTTTTACTCACTGCCTCCTGCATTTTTTTTTTTTTTTTTTGTGGGTGGGCAGAGGTTCCAGGGATTGAACTCAGGGAACCACTCAGCCACATCCCCAGCCCTAATTTTATTTAGAGACAGGGCTCACTGAGTTGCTTAGCGCCTCCCCATAGCTGAAGCTGGCTTTTGATCCTCCTGTCTTAGCCTCCCGAGCCGCTGGGATAAACGTATGCCACTGCACCTGGCTCATAAAATCCTTCTGGACTCTAAGTTTTACTGTTCCTTCTCTCTTCCTCCTTCTCATTTCTTATTTTTTACACTTTTTGTGTGTCAGTGTGTATACATATTTACAAACACATGTAATATGAATGTATCATGTTTACCATTTTTAAAAAACCTCAATGTGTATGCTATGGAGAATGGTAGATAATAAATGCATAATTTTTGTTAGGATAGTTTGAAAGACTCATAAAGATATAAGAAGTTAGAAAAAGCAGTGGTACACAGGTCTGTTTTTTTTTTCAATTGTCATGCTCTCTCACTGAAGCAAGCACGTACATTCAAATCTTCGAAGTTGTAGATGGTTCCCTGACAAGCCTTTCCAGTGTCAGAGATTTTATCTATAAATAAAGAAGTGATTCCCTTTCTCCTTGCTAAGACCAATTTGATTGGTTTACAGTTGTGCACTATGTTCTCTTGAAGACATGCAATGAAAACTTCAGGGTATGCCCAACACAGTAGTTCAAACATTTGGACTTTTTAGTCATACTAAATCACTGTTACTATCCCTCCCCATCTAGTCTGTCTACAGATATTTCTATAATATTTCATGGGACAATAAAACTTCAGGATAAGTATACAGAAAATCATGTAAGTTCTTTGGAATCCACTCTTGCTCTCCTGGCATACAATTTGGCAGATGTAAGAAAACTATATAAATCAAGTCACAGCAACTTGAGCATAGTGCCATTTATTATATTCTGCTAGTAGTAGCATTATCAGTCCAAAGATCCATATTGTAAATATATCCTTGAAGGAAACCATACAATATTTCCATTGTAAAGAAATGGGTGATATTTCCAACGGTGAAACAAACCTACAAGATTATGGCATTACAGTCAATTTCTCTATCAGGAGGCAATGAAAACCTACACCAATTTGGACAACTGTTTCTCCTTCAAAAAATAAATAAAGTAGCCATAGATGCAAGGAGAAAATACAACAAAAACTCACATGAATTTGCTCCTTTTATTTCTCCCTGTTTATTGCTAAAACCAAACGTCTCATTTGTTCCCTTTCTCCCCACAACTTGGCTTTAACTCCCAAAAAGAGAGCATGGGGGAAAAACTCAGAGGCCCTGATAATCTCAAAACAGAATAATCCATCTCTGAATAATCTAAACTGTCTGTGTCCTGTTTTATAATCATTTATAACTAACTGAATACCACTACTAAGAATAAGTATACCAAGCTTAAGGAATTTCCTTCTTTACAAATGCATGGAAATCTGGTTATTATTAACCACCCCACCCCACTGCCCCCCTCCCCTGGGGGGGCAAAAAACTCCTGCTTCATTAAGCAGCTGAAGATTTTTGGAGGAGTACTCTTTGTAGAAGTGAAAACATAATAAAAATAACTGATGGTACTACAGCAGACAGGGGCAATGGGTTAGCGGGAGGAGGATAAACAGTGAATTACAGGTAAAGGATTAACAAGTAGAACAGTCAACTGTGTGGTCTCAGAAAATGGAACTGGTAAAAGAGAGATTAATTTCATGATTTCAAGGAGACATCTGGGCTATGTAGAAGCTGAAGCCCTTATTTTCACAGTAAAAAGTACAAAGCTCTGTCCCTGATTTACAAAGCAGAGTCATTCATGCCAGAGTCAGGGTGGCGGAAGAAACAACAGACATCCAGCAGTGCTATCTGATGTCCTGAATAAGATTATGAAATGATAAATAAAATGATGAAGCTGGTTTCCTCAGTAGGGTTTGGGGGGAGGTATTCTGTAATGGGCTATTCTGGGTTATAAGAATCACTTAAGTGATCAACAGATATAGAAGTGATGAGCAGTTTTCCAGGCTTAGAGACCTCTCTTCATAAAAAGATCAGAAGAACCCAAGAATAAAAAAAACCAAAAAGATAAGTCAACTTGAGTCATAATTCTCTTCCCTTTCCTGCCTCCCCCCACCCAAAGAAGCCATTTTCTCTGAACCCCTTTCCAGAATCTTCTGTTCTTCCTTCTCTGTGAGACTTCAGGGTGGTCTTGAAACCACCCTGTGAATGTGTGCCTCACAGGGTGTGTAGCACAGAAGCCAGGAGGCTGAGGGGCCTGGCGCAGCCAGTAGTGGAGGTATGAAGGAGGCTCAGAGAACACTGGTCAGCGACTCCTGGTCACTCCGGTGACTCATTACAAGTCCTCTCTCAGGGTTTTCTTTTAAATCTCCCATAGTCAAAACAAAAAGGTATAAGTTAGAGGGGAGAAAAAAAAGGATGAGATGTTCTTTATTGGAAGAACAAGTAGTTGGCAGCAAAGGGAAAACAGAACAAACCAAATAAAACAGATAAAACTGAAAATCCACAAATCAGATTACAAGACAATATTCTGCTGACATTTAAATAAAGTAATCCCCTGGCTACAATTTAACTGCTGCCTTTTTGCCTATAATCCCAGATTTCTCTTGTTTGAGGCTGGACACAATTTTTATTTCTCTGTGTACTTAGAGCTTCACATGGACCCAGCATTATTTACTACTTACTTGTGCTTGCTTGCATACTTTAAAAGGCTGAAGTGTTTCTTGGTAGAAAAGCTGATGATAAGCTTGTAGGTCAAACCAAAAGTACACACAGTTCTTCCACAACTGCAGATGGAAAAAGAACATAAACAAGGATCAACCAATTATTAAAGCTCTACAAAGCTCTAATTTCAAATATAAATCATTGGTTAGTTCCTTGCTGTTACCATAAATCAGGTTCAATATATGATAGTTTTAATCATTTATCACAAACTGGCAATATGCAAAATATTTATTGGTATTGTCATTGGGACATTATATTTTTTTTGCATGTATGCCTCTCACATAATTAGTCATTAAAATAGTAAGTGTTCTAGTTAAAGAGTAACCACATGTTTCTGGCATGCAACCAAAATCTGAAGGTATTTTGATAGGAGCAAATGTATATTATAGCAAAACCAAACATTATTCTAATAATTGAGCCAGTGAAATAATTTTGCCTTTACTCATTGTAATTTGTAGAATTATTAAAAATTAAAGGATTGAGGGCTGGGGCTATAGCTCAGTGGTAGAGAGCTTGCCTAGCATGTGTGACTCCCTGGGTTCAATACTCAGCACCACATAAAAATAAATAAAATAAAGGTCCATCAACAACTAAAAAAAAATTTTTAAAAATTAAATGATTAAAAAAAAATTAAAGGATTGATAGAAATCCACTCTAAAATATATTACACTGAGATGAAATTATTTGAGAATAAACCAGTGTTAGTAATGCAAGCCAATCTTGGTCTATCTGTATTTTACTTTTCTTTGTAATCTTAGTAGAGTAGTAAACCAAAGAGAATTATAATTGAGATGTTTAAATCTTTACTAAATATAAAATATTGACTTTCTTACCAGAGATGGGAATTTTACCATCAAATATATTTACTTGAGCACTGAATTGTTTTAATTCCACTTATTTTTAAATGGAGCAAAATTATAAAATTTTAAATAATTCTTTTCTACCTTGTTTCCTGAATCCTCGCAGAATTTAGTAAAGAAAAATCCAGCTCTGTTTTCTACATACAAAGATTGCAACAAATTTTCCATGTCGTATCCTCCTAGGGCATCAATATTTGCTATGGTTTTAACCTAGATAACAAAACAGAAATCTATCATCCTCCCAAAAGCATTGTAATGTTTAATAGCATTGTACAAGTGGGTTTCCTAAGTTCTGCCAGCCTGTCACTTTCCCACTGTACTATGTTATTTTGTTTTGTACTATACACGTCATTAATGCAGTCTGTTTGCAGATGACTGTTATAAGATTCATTTATGGAGCCAACTATAGCAGCAAAATTCATTCTTTTATAAGCCAATCTGATTTCAAACTTGATATCTTAAGTGACTTCCCAACCTCAATTGTTCGAATTTTTCAGGCACAGTGATGGCATTTGAGAAGTCTTCCAAATCTCTGTTGGTGGCCTCTTCTCTCCTACTTATTTACTGTTATTTTAGCCTTGAGGTGCTGCTATTATAGCTACAAGAGGATATAAAAAGAACTATCTTCAAGGCCTCTCAGTGCTGCTCATTATCTGTCCTTAGGGAGTCCCTCTTTGGACAGTGCCACCCCGCATAGGTCATGGCCTACAGAGTGTAAAAGGCAATATAAGTTCTCATAAAACTCTACTGTTTATGGCTTCTCTGACAACAATGCTAGCAACACTAATGCCATCCTTGAAACATGGAGAGCTATTTCTCCAAACACAAGAGTGACTCCAGAATATGAGAGGGCATATGCTATTTGCATGAACTCTGTTATTTGTTCTGTGGAACTCAGATTTCTTTATAATCTGAAATGGAGTGTGAAAAAATTTAGGATTTAATTAAGGCTCTTGCTCTCTATTGTATTGTCTCTCTACCTTTTTAACTGCCTGCCAAACAAATTCCAAGATAAGAATTTGATGTTTTATGATGTTTAACTATTAGCATTCCAAACTAAAAAAATAATTACTTTAGTAGGAAAAACAATCCTAATAAGAAAAAAGGAGAACTATTTGCTAAAAATAGAATAAAGTTACACAAAATTACAGCTAAGTGTTGAGACTATATTGGGGCTTCTGAGGTTTCTACTTAAAGTATAATACTTATGAAATCTTCATCTAAATAGGTGCATTAAATCCATGTTATAAAGGCAGCTGTACTCTGGGAATACTCTGCCTTTTAAAATTTTTATATTTCCATGGGGCTGAGGTTGTGGCTCAGCAGTAGAGTGTTCGCCTAGCACGCGCAAGGCCCTGGGTTCAATCCTCAGCACCACATAAAGAAAATAAATAAATAAAATAAAGGTATTGTGTTCAACTACAACTAAAAAATAAATATTAAAAAAAATTTATATTTCCAAAACCTAACTTCAAATATTATTTAATCAACACTTAAGAATTTAAAAATACTAAAGGGTGCTATTTTGTGTCTGAGGTATCATCATACCCAAACCAGAACAAATAGTTTTTATAATAAGTGAAACATGAAACTTACTTACAAAAGGAAACATAGAGGACAGGAGAATTTTTGTGTGAAAATCCTTTGTCAAGGAAAAAATAAAATGTGTTGCTTAGTAGAGAAAAATATGGTGAATCAATAAAAAATTTTCTAACATCAAGGGATACTGACCAATGAGAGAGAGAGAAGATTATCCAGTCCTCAAAATACGTACCTTAGGTTCTTCTGTATAAGCAAATCTTGTATCCAGCTGGGGCTTCAGACATTCAGAAATGTCAGTAAAAGATGTTAAACGAATAACTTTGCTGCTTTCTGATATGTGCATTGACCTAAATTATTGGGATCAGAACCAATTGATCAACAAATTTTGTGTGCAATTGGTATATATGGCACCAAAGAACTTCCTCAAAATGATAGAGAATCTGTGAAAAAGATATAACTAACATCATACTTAATAGTGAAAGGTTGAATGCTTTTCCCTAAAATTGGGAACAAGGCAAGGATGTCTGTTGTTCTGCTTCTATTGAGCACTGTACTGGAGGGTCTAGCTAAGGCAATTAGAGAAGAAAAATAAATAAAAGTATCCTGATTGAAAGAAAAAAATTAAAACTATATTGATTTTCAGATAATATGCAAAATCCATTAAAAATATACTGGAATAAGTTCAATAAGGTCACAGGATACAAGATAAATATACAAAAATATAAATAAACAAATTGTATTCTGTAGACTAGCAATGAAAAATCCAAAAATGAAATTAAGAAAACATTTCCAGGGGCTGGGGTTGTGGCTCAGTGGTAGAGAGTTTGCCTAGCATGTGTGAGGCCCTGGGTTTGATCCTCAGCACCACATAAAGATAGATAAATAAAATTAAAGGTTAAAGGTACTGTTATCCATCTACAACTACAAAAAATATTTTAAAAAGAAAAAGAAAACATTTCCATTTGCAACAGCCTCAAAGAAAGAAAATCCCCCCAAAATATTTAGGAACAACTTTAACAGAAACATTCTCTCCTAAATGTAGTGACTTTAACTGTTACTCTGACTCACTCAAATCATTATATCAAAAATTTTTTAAAGCCACATTCTTTTTTTTAATATTTATTTTTTAGGTGTAGATATATCCAAATTTTTAAAAAGGGTAATCTATGGAATATTACACAGCAATTAAAGAAACATGCTGTAGATACTGGCAACAACTTGGATAGATCTCAAGGAAATTAAGAGTAAAAAAAAATCAATCTCAAAGGTTGCATTCTTCATAATCCCATTTATATAACATTCTTGAAGTGACAAAATTATAGAGTTAGAGAACAGCCTAGTGGTTGTCAGTGGCTGGAGGAAGGGGAAGGAAGGCAAGTGGTTGTAAGTATTAAATGGTAGTCCAAGAGATCCTTGTGATGGAACTGTTTTGTATCTAAAGTGGTGACAGTCACATGAAAATGCACCTGTGTTAAATTGTACAGAACTAAACACACACATACACACACACACACACACACACACACACACACTAAATGCATATAAAACTGATGAAATTTGATAAGGTAGCTGGGTTATATAAATATCAATTTCCTGGATCTGATATTGTACTCTAAATACACAAGATGATACCACTGGGGGATATTGAGTGAAGCATGTATGGGCTTTATATAATTCCACTAAATGTGAATCACAGTTACTTCAAAATAAGAAGTTAAAAGTAGAGTGCTCTAATAATAATTGGTTCATCTTCACCTTTGAAATATTCTTCTACCTGCTATCATTTGGTTTTTGTCTCTTGGAATTTACCTTACAAAAACTTTTTCAATAACTCTGTCATTTACAAATAAAAATGTATACTTTCTGGCATTAACTTGACTACTTTGCATTTAACATTCTTTTAAAATTCTTCCTTCCCTTGGTTTCTATGATCACCCTTTTTTATATGTTCATTTCACATCTCTCAGACTTTTTGTCCCTCTATTCTGATTCTGTATTCTCTGTTTTATTGTAAAATTTGATAACTTAGTCCTTCTCCTTCTATAATACTCTTTCTCTCTTGTGATCATCCCTCCATGCCCACACTTCAACTGCTTCATAAAGTATAATGCTTCCCAAATCTATTTATAGTTGATCTCTTCCCTGGACTCCAGACCTATATTTTGGACAAGTATTCCAATGTGTATCTTAATGTAGTTCTAATTTTTTTTAAAGAGAGAGAAAGAGAGAATTTTTAATATTTATTTTTTAGTTTTCGGTAGACACATTTTTCTTTGTATATGGTGCTAAGGGTGGAACCTGGGCCGCATGCATGCCAGGCGAGCGCGCTACCCCTTGAGCACATCCCCAGCCCCTGTAGTTTTAATTTTTTATGGAGATATACTTTATACTTTCAACACAAAATTTGTGTTGGCAAGGATGTGGAAAAATAAGAACCCAACATGGTTTTATCTCATTCTTCAAGAGAACCCTATGCTCTATATTAATTCATTCAACAAATACTAGAACACATACTATGTGTCAGATACTGTACTCAACACCAGAGCATTCACCTAGGCAGTGACCCTAACTAAACTCATCTGCCTCCTCTAACCCTGTTTTTTCTCTTTCTGAACAGAAATTCACAGAAGTTAATGTAAAAATATTTTTTAATATATGAAAAAAAGCTCAAATTCAGTAAAAGTAATAAATGCAATTTCAAAAACCTATCTGAATATAAAAGGTAACATATATGTGTTTGTAATGGTATGGTAAAAAAGGCACTCTCATGCATGCCTTGGGGAATATAAACAAACTGTAACAATACTTCAGAAAGACAACTTGGTAATATCTATAAAAATTTAAAAAGTATGTGAACTTTGATTCAATTCTATTTATAGGGATTTATCCTATAGATATACATTTATATGTGAAATATAGCAAATGTACAAGAATATCCATTGTCATGTTGTCTGCAACAGCAAAAAATATTGAAAATAATGCCTTGTCCTTCAATAGAATATAAACACAATGTTTTATAAAATGAATGATAATCAGACAYAAGAGGAAACAAGATGATAAKAACAAGAAACAAAATAGATAATGGCATATCTATTGCTATAGTACATTTACTGCTATTTAAAAACTTCTAAGATTCATTAATAGAAAAAAWWAAMMAAWT